TCTTCTTTTGCTTCTAAAGAACAATACAAAAGTCGGTAAAAAGACATTAATGAAAGAGTTTCTCTCTTTCATCTTTTTCTATTTTCTATTTGTTATTCCTTTATTGTACCAAACGTTTCTCTCTTTTTCTTCATTTTATGTTAATGAAAGAGTTTTTGTTTACATCCATATCGGTAGATTTATAAATATTTTTGAAAATATGTATATATTAATAAAATAATTTTTTGTATAAATAGATATAAATAAACTTTTAGTATATATAAAATCAATAAAATAAATAATTAACAAAAAATTTAAATTTTCGAATGGACAACCAAAAATGGATCTGCCCTTGTACGCCACAAATTAAGCTATTATTATTATTTGTTATAAATAACATAAAGTGAATAATGATTCTAAAACATCTTTAACACCATATGTAAATTTTGATGATCATTTATTAAAAATTATTTTTTTCTATAAACTTGTCACGGTTCATTCCCTCTCAGTCACTACAGTAAAATATGTTTTTAGGGCATTTTTTTCAGTCATATAACGCAGTTTCTAAGCATCGCTTGTGGCAGAAAAAAAAGTCATTAAATGCGCCGTTGAAATCAACACCACAAAAGGTAGAGGCGTCTTTCGTCTAAAAATGCTGCTAAAGGTTATGAGTTTTAGCGGCGTTTTTCCCATAAATGTCGCTAAAGGTTATGAAATTTTGCGGCGTTGTTGAAAAATGCCGCTATATATCTTTCTCTTTTGTGACGTTTATAAAAAACCGCCGCAAAATGTTATGGCATATAGTTGCGTTTGTTCCCAAAAAAGTCGATAAATGTCATGACATATAGCGGCGTTTGTAAATTAAAATGCTACTATTGACTATGTCTATAGTGACATTTTTTTGTATAAACGCCGCAAATGTTCTAAAACTTTAGTGGCATTTTTTCTAAAACGCCAGTATTGATTATGTATTTAGTGGCGTTTGTTATACAAACACCGCTAATTAACACAGATTTTGCAAACGGTGTTTTCTGCCCTTTTATTACCCAAATTTAAATTTTTAACCTGTAGCATTATCCAATAAACATGACATCCATAACAACAAACTTTAATTTGATAACAACCAACTTTAAATCCATTACAATAAATCAAACTTTACATTAACATAATATATAATGCAGTTCAACATTGATAAGTAGAATGAACAAAGCATATATCTCAAATAAAACCTAAGTTGGTGGACTGTGAGGTTGATTTTTTCGGATCATCTGCATCATAGCTTCAAGTCGATTTTCAAATTCTTGACATTTTTGCTGATATGTTACTTCTCTCTCTGCTTCCCTCGCTTCATTTTCGGCTTCTATGTTAGCCATTTGTTTGATCCATTTCAACCAATTGTTGTTTTAAACGACTAACTTTTAATTGGGAAGACTGACTCTAAGATGACATGTAATGAGATGAACTGGATCCAAAATATTTGGTGGGAGTAACGAATGATCCTTCACAGCGAACCTGACAATATCTTTCAGGACCCAAAACTTCATTAATAACTTGATTTTCGATTTCATCCGCATTAACAATACAATGACTTGAAGTCGTAGCTTCATACTCCACCCTTTTATCCCTCATTTTTTCCTAATAATCTATTCAATAATTATTTTAAATAAGAATGTCGTACTATATATATAAATATAACATAATAAATGTACTATAATTTCTGCAGCTTCAGTAGTCATATGAGTGACATCCTTTTTTGTATGTGTCATGTTGAAGAGTTTTATTCGTCCAACTTTATAACCAAACATATTTTCCCACAATGTAGAATAAAAAATAAGTCTTGCAAAAACATTAATTAATAATATAATTAATCTTCGTTAATATGTGCTACTAACTATAAATCACTATGTGAATAATCTATAATACCTCATCATTAGGTATACAAGCAAAGCTCTTCGATCCAGCTTTGTGAGTAAACTTTTGTTGTTGTCTGCTAGCAACACCAACATGCTCTCGGTTCTACAATTTGAATTATTTACTTATAAAGTCAATATTATAATTCCTTTATATTATTTTTGAAAAATACATCATACTTGTCATTTCTTTGAACTCCAAAACCTGACTGCATCTTCCCATTGATACTTGAGCATTTCACATGGGACATTTTGTAGCTTCTCTTCAAGGCTGAGATCATTCTTGAAGTATTTCTTTTTTGATGAACTCTTGTGGTCTCTCCATCTCTTCCCTAACAATTGCTTCAAATAATCGTCTGAGACCTCTAAAGAAAATTTGTCCCACAAATAAAATAAGTGTTCAAAGTAAGTATAAATTACTATTGAACTGTTATGGATTATCTATTATAATGAAATTATTACCTAGACAAAATCCAAAGCCTGATTTTTGTTACTATTTGACATTTCAAGCCAAGATTCATAATTGATCGGTAAAAGATTAGCATTACGTGGAACCATGCCTAAGTAACCAGATATAAGACGTGTTTCTGGGCTAATAGGTTGACCAGCATTGTTTCTTGCAACTTTCACTCGATGCCCAGGAGGAAGTTGGTATAATTCCTTCAACGTTGTACGTCCTCTAGTCTTGCATGTTCCACCGTTTTCAACTATATAAGAAATAATTAAATATAAGTTTTCAAAACGAACCAACAATTAAAGAAAGTGTCAAACACTACATTCAATTTCTAAAGCTTCTTCAACAGTAATAGGAACTTCCGAAGAGTCAACAGCAGTCGATTCCTCATTATTTGTTTGTTCCTCCTCTTGAGAAGCTCAAACAATCCGTAAATCACTTAATTTTCTCCTGTGCATGATATCTGTAATAAACAAACAACAATTTTAGTAAGAAAATGGATCAATTAATGGATATATTGAAGGACAACATGTTATAAATTATAATATTATAAATTAATAAATTAATATATAAAATCTTACTACATTATTATGTCATATCAATTATCATAAATATATTCATCCACGTCCTCCTGAACCCATTGAAATTGTGTAGTATTAGTGATAGTTTCATCTAAGTTTTGTTCTACAAAAGGTAAAGATTCTGATCTTATTTCAATGTCATCTCTACTTCCATCCCCGATGTCTATCAAGTCTTTGGGGTATTACGAACCACGACATACCAACTCTCATCCATTGGATCGTGACAGTAAAAAACTCGTTTGACTTGAGAAGAAAATACATGTCTCATCAATCAATTGTTGACCAGTGTGAATTAATCGAGAGAAATTCACCATTGTAAAACCGAATTCATCTCTTTTTATGCCTGGAGTACTATTTACATCAACCCAGTCACACCGAAACAACACAACCTTTCGTTTTCCATAATAATTCAATTCAATAATGTATGTAAGAATTCCATAATATTCTACATCTCCCTCCAAATGATGATTGTTCTTGACATTAGCATAACTTGTAGTTGAAGAAGTAACAACTATTCCACAATTTTGTGTCATCCTAAATCTTTTATGAGATTTCGTGTGGAACCTGAACCCATTAATGAGGAAAACATTATATCTTTTAACAATTCTATTCAGACTTTGAGAAAGCCATTTAACATCTTCACTAACTTCTCTCCACTCCAAACTTATTACAAGTGAAAGGTGAATTAATTAATATTTATGTCGATATATTAAAACAAGACTTATATATTATTTACAATTATGTGTAATGATTTAGTCAAATCAAATCATTTCCATTGTCACAACAAAAGTCAACAAAACTTTATATTAAACTCCAATATCAGCTCGAAACGAAAACAAATTGACAAAGTGAAATTAACTACTACATCTAGAGCTCGATCGATTTCATTTTTGGCTGTTGAAGATCATCATTTCATGTAAGTTAAATCAAAATTCCAAGATTATATGCGAACCTTTAATTTATGTAAACCTTTAAGTATGCTAACATAGGACTACTACGAACCTCCAAAGTATGAAGCGTATCTGGCAAACAACCAGAAGTGATGTCATGTTGATCACATGTTACTCTCATAACACATCCAACGTATGATCACGAACGACCATGTGTTGATATACATATTCTATTTTAATGACAAATTAGTCTAAATCATCACTTCCTAGGATATTCAATCAGTACCAATATCACAACAACCTCTTAATGAAACCTATCCAAGGTATTATAAATAGCCATGCAATAGAGAATAAGAGTACATACAAATCTCTTCAATCAAAAATCAAACTGACATGATCAGAACCACCATTCAAATTGACATCTACAGTTGTTGTCAACTTCAGCAGTCAACAATGCCGCAACAACATTGGGTTACTTTTAAAAGGTCAAAATATATGCATAACTGTGAGATCTTTGTGTTACAAGAGTTTGCAATTCATAGAACAATTACAGTATAAAATAGGAAAAATAGATTTGTATGCACGTTGAAGGTGTTTACTAAAGGAAAATATGAATACATTGTGATGAATTTTAACTTAAAATGATACATGTTTACTCTAAAAAGATTATACAATTAATAATAATTTTAGTTACAATTGATAATGTCTTAACAATAACTTTTTCGATTACAATTAGTTATGCGATTTATTTTTACATATATTTATATTCATTCATTTAATATTCGAAAATATTTTTATTTATCATTCATGGACATATTATAAAACATATTTACTAAAGTTCGTTGGACATCGATAAGTAAGAATTGTTATTTAAGTCAGTAGAAATAAAAAGAATTTACTTCAAAAGAAATCATATTGCAACAAGATATGTGTGAGAATAAGGTGATAATATACTAGAAAATGGACATGGGAACTTCCAGAAGGCATGTAAAATCATAGAGAGCCAAGGCAGTCAAATTCTTCCAGCCAAGAGAATGAACGATGCATTACAGACTGAAAAAAAAACAGATTGCAAAGCAATAAACTAACCTGCGTGCAAAGCAATAAACTAATTCCTTACTATCAAGGCAAGTATCTTGCAGCTCTTTTCTTGTATGAACCAGTTTCCTTTCCACAATAATCAGAAATGCAATCTCGCATTGACGCTGAAGTACGTTTCTGCAAGGCAGATTTCTGATTGGCAAAGGTGTCTTCTTAATCTTAATTTGTTTTAATTTTGTTATGCAGGTTGTAAAGCTTCTAAGAGAAGCATAACATCGTGTGAAAGCCCTGTTAAAGAAGGTATGTTCATGAAAACCCTCTTGTAATACGAGTATGCGTCCACCTTTGTGTATGTTAAATTTCTGAGAAGTTTTTCCATATGCACGTTGGAACTAAAGATCGATCATTCTATCAAAAAATGACATACCTATTGGCTGCCGATGCTTAGGAGTTCAATCAACACTTTGACATTTTTTTCAGCAAGAGAAGGCATTACACGAATTAGCAAATGCTCTTTTGGAGTACGAAACACTTAACGCAGAAGAAATAAAGCGCATTCTTCTGCCGTACCGAGAAGGACCTTTTCCCGAACAACAAGAAGCGCAGGAAGAGGGGGACCTGGTATTGGCCTAAACTATATAACTCAATATCCATAACCTGCGATCTAACTTGGTCGGAGGGGAAGCTCTGCACAGTGTATTTTAAGCAGCAAAGGTAATTTATTTTACATAATTTCTTGCATTTCTTTCCCCACTATAATCATAAGATGTGTTATGATTCAGCACTAACAATATAAGGAAGATTCAGCACAGAGGAATCAAATCATTTCAGAGTCAAAATAATGCCATAAAGGAAAAGTGAAGCCAATATGTATAGATACAATAGTCAGAAAGATGATTGTAACTGTGAGGCAGTAACCAAGCAGACACTATGCACTATTTTAGGGTACCAAAATTCTGTAACTTTAAGGGTCCAACACCCACTTTTCATTTCCTTGAAGCTTCCGAGGAATGGAATCAATGCAAAATACACATTTCCTTACGGAGGGCTTAAAAGAAATGGAATGAAGTCAAAGACATACCTGGTGGTTGGCCGGAAGAGTGCGACGACAATGCTTGCTTCTGATGGTGGTTGCGCTACGGTGGTTGAGTTGGATTAGGGATTGGAAATCAGTTTGAAAGAAAAAGAGAGATGAAATATCGAGATTAATTTGGGTGTTTTCAAACTATACATGTTGGTAACCAAAAACCAACGACAGCGGCGTGATGTTGCGGTTATGGTGATGGTTGCACGGTGGTGGCTTCACTGTGAAAATGGGAATGAAATAATTACGGATTTGGAACCCGGTGGGTTAAAAGGATTATACTATCACGGCATTTATTACAAAAGCGCCGCTAAAGTACATGACTATTGCGGCTTTTTTGTAATAAATGTCGCTAAGGTGCATGGCTATTGTGGTGTACAAACACGCTACCTTATAAGTTTCAATCGCGGCGTTTTTATTTAAAATTCTGCTAATGTCTTTGTTTTGTGGTGTTTTACCCGTAAACGCCGCATAAAACGCTGCTACATAATTGGTTCCCCTATTGTTTGGACAAATATCTGGAACAAGATCAAACCTGAAAACGCTCGTGCAGCATGAGATACGATTGGACATACATTGCAGATGCATATATCAGATCGAATGGTGATGCTCAAGCCATAAGAGCGGGGATCTCTATTGATCCAACAAATTAAAGTAGCTTTGCTTTGCGACGAGATCGTGATAGGCGTGGCGGTAAAGGTGACGACGGCGTCGAACAACTCCAATTAACAACAGATTTGTTGGGTCTTTACAAACGGCGGGGAGCAGAAAATGTTAGGAAAAATAAAAGGTGAGATCGGGCTGAAGGGTTAGGGAGATAAAAGTTTTAAAATTTGCGGCGTTTGTTCAAAAAATGCCACTATAGATGAACCTTATTATGACATTTGTATAAAAATGCCGCTAAAGTACAACTCACTTGCGACGTTTGTTGAAAAAAGGCCACTATAGATGAACCTTATTGCGACGTTTGTTGAAAAAATGCCACTATAGATGAACCCTATTACAACGTTTGTATAAAAAGGCCGCTACAGTACTACTCTGTCACGGTGTTTTTAAAAAAACGCTACTATGGATGAACCTATTGCAACGTTTGAATAAAAAAACGCCGCAAAAGTAGTACTATGTCGCAACATTTTGTATAAAAATACCACTAAAGTTACCATTTTGTTGTGTTTGGAATTTAAATGCCGCAATATGTTTGAAGTTAGTGGCGTTTACTCTCAAAATACCGATGTAGAACAGTTTTGTTGTAGTGAGTCAAGTATTAGTAAAGACTCAATCAACTTAAAGATTGTATTTTCCTGTAGTATAATGGAGGTCTTACTAAATATCTGAATCACCTAAAGATTATCTGATTCAATTATCACTCTTCTAAACTCAACTTCCGTACATACTGTAGACACCCGTTTTTGTCTGAGTCTACCAAAAATATTGTTATATTATTTGTATTATTATTAATCTATTATTATTATTATTATTATTAATGAACTAATTTACATTTTTGCAGGTCAAATATAGCCCAATAGTAAGAGCTCACAAACCAATGACCCAAGTCACAAACATACCCGAAGCTCATCAACCTAGCAGCCCACACAACTCAACCCAACCTAACCCAGCAAACCCGGATCCAGACCCGAGGCCCAGGACCCAAACCGACCCAGACCCGCTAGGGTTTCCCCTTCTCTGCCCCAGCGTCGCACCATCAAGACCATCTGATCTGGACCCATCCAATGGTCCAGATCAACGGTCATTTAGGGTATACAACCCTAAGCCTAGATGCTACCACCCACCATCGAGCCATTCCCCGATGCCTGACGCCGGCACAGACAGATCTACACCAAACAGTGATAGAAGCACTCATCAATCAGTCTATCAACAGTGGAAATCAGAGAAACAAAATAATAATAAGCATCACAAGATATCCCGATGGATATTTGGGGTGTCAATCAAGCAAGAGATAGAGTATTCATACCCTATCCCTCGGGAAAAAGAAAGAGGGAGGAGGGAACCATAAATCAAGGGGAAACCATTTCGGGAAAAAAATAAAGATGAGGGTTTTAGAGTGAAAACATGAGAGGGTAATTTGGGGTTTAAACCGAAAAGAGAAAAGAAAACAAAAAGAAAAAAGACGAGAAAGCCTCGAACAGAAAAAAAGAAAAAAAACAAACATATAGAGAAAAAACTGAGAACCATAACCAATGAGAGAGGGAGAGAACCCTTGCCTCGGTCGAACGTCGATGAAAGCCTACGGGTCGCCGGAGTTACATTTTTTTTGAAAGGTAAAGGTTTAGATCTAGGTCGTCATGGGGCTTTTTAGGTTAAACTAAGTGAGGTTTTGGTTTAAGGGAGATGGCAGGAGTCTTATGGTGGCTTTATCTCTCTCCGACCACTGTGCGCCGTCATGGGCACCATCGGTGGTGGCCGATTATCTCTTCTTCGACGAGAGAGTTGAGAAACTCTCTCTATTTCTCTCTTTTCTCACGGTTTAGGGAGGAAGCAAATGAGGGTTGGGTTAGTTTTAGGCCTTATTTTGGCCTTAAATATAATTCCCCAAATGATTTCATTCTGAGAGGACTTCGGTTTGTTTTCAGCGCATGATATAATAGCCGTTTAGGCCCCTCACATGTTGTAATGCTCCGTTTCAACCAGTTAATGAAATTATATTTATTTTATTTCGAGCATTATGGTTTCAATACTTTTATTTTAGTCATATCCTTACTTACTTTGTTATTTTTATTAGAGTTTGAATTTGGCCACCACATTTGTAAATATTTTATTTCTGTCACTGTTGGCATTTGGTTTAATTATAGTTCAGTCCTTTTATGTTTCTTTTTATTTCTTTTTAGTCTTTAATATTGTTAACGAGTTATTTACATTTATGGTTCCTATATTATTTAAAATTTGCAATTTGGGCTCTGGTTTATTTTATAATTAATGTTTAGCCCTTTTAGTTTTTGTTAATATCATTTTAGTCCTTTAAATTTCTATTTTTTTTATTTTAGTCCTTTAAATGTATGTATTTGCTATTTAGACCCTTAGTTTTTGTTTTTACTATTTAGCACTTTAAGTTTCTATTTTTACCATTTTATTCCTTTAAATTTATGTTTGTACCATTTTAGTCCTTAAAGTTTTGGTTTTTTCTAGTTTAGTCCTTTAAGTTTCTATTTTTGTTATTTTAGTCCTTTAACTTTCAGTTTTAGCTATTTTAGTCCTTTAGGTTTTTGTTTTTCCTATTTTGGCCCGTGTAATTATAAATACTTTATTTTTATCATTATATATTGGGTTGTAATATTCAATTATTTTTATTTCAATCCCCTGTGTATGTACATTTTATATGTTATGTATTCACTTGTATCACATATAGATAAATATGCTTATCGCTATTTATTGTAAATATTTTTATTTTGCATGTTTCCAACATTGTTGCTTTAATATTAGAAAAATGAAGAAATTTCAATGTGAGGGAAATCGGCGAAGATATCTTCCAACTAAAGGGAAGGTATCTTTTCGAGGATTTTTCGCATGAATGATTGTTTTATATTCAATATTTTTCTTTGTTCCACATTTAGTTATTTCGAGTATTTTTCACTGCTTTGCACTTTTATTTTTTTTATTTTATCTTGGCGAATTTTGTGAAATAATGTATTTTGTGAGGGGAATCTATGGGAAAGTCTCCTAACTGCAAAGGAAGTGATTTCCCGAAGATTGTTCACACTTTTTAAATAAATTCGAATGAATAATAGGATCGTAATATAAATATATTTTCAAGTTTGTAATTCCCAATATTTAAACAACATATAATCGTTTAGGTACCAAAATTTGGTCATTGTGGGGGTGCTAACCCTTCCCCACATGTAACCGACTCCCGAACTCTTAGAAACGAATATTTGGTAAAATGCATACCATTTTTTATCATTTAAGGTTTCCAACATACCTAACTTAATGGTTGGTGGCGACTCAAAAATCAAATTGTTTTCAAATCATATTCCATCGCCCGAACAAATTTTTTAAAGTCTAACGGACTCCCCCGGGGAGACGTTATGACAGCTTGGTGACTCCGCTGGGGACTTCGAGAGTCGGGCCATGAACGATTATATGTTGTTTTGTATTTGGGAATTTCAAACTTAAATTGTATTTAATTTACGATCTTTTTATTTATTGTGAGTTTCAAAATATTATACATATTTGTAAATAATTAATTTTTTATTTTAGTGATTTTCAGATTTGAACAGATTTTGGAAGGTGTGAGAGTGTTGTTTTTTTCGTTTCTTTAAAGGTTTGTGAGTTTCCCCACACACACAACACATGGATTTACATAACATAAGCTCACTTATGAGATTTGTCCTTTTAAGTTGAGGTGAAAGCTTAGCCTACGTGAGATAAATTATTTCTCCGTATGGGTTTTAGCTAGTAATCTTTGGGGTTCATATACCTTATGTCTACATGAGATAAATTGTTTCTCCGTATGGACATAACGAAATATATCCTGTCGAATTGAACTCGATCCGTATGAGCCTGTAATGGGCCATGATTGAGGGTTTGGCAGCCTAAGGAGGCACTAACAAGGACAATTCGGGTACCCTTTTCCTGTTAGAGATGAAACCATGCATATAGTGAACCGTAGAATGATCACCCTAGGTATAGTCATACCAAACTT